AAGAGTGAGGCACCTGAATCACAGAAAGGAAAAGGCTTAACCCCCGCAACTAACAGCCAAGAGGAAGAATGACATGCAAAGCAACCCCCCCAAATAAAAACTAAAATCAAAACAACATCAACAGAGTCTGGTTAGTAGCATGAAGAACAGAGCAAGCAATAAAGGGTGCATATCATTCATGTTATGCGAAGCCCACATCTCACTGCAAGTTGCCCATAGGTCTGCTTCCCCTTAGCAGCTTCAAGCTGAGAAAGGAAACATGTATTCTTCTCAACTCGCTCTGTTTGAATCGAAGACAGTCTCCAGACCCAGGGTCTCTCTTTCATGCCTCTAAAATTCTAGGACTGGCTGGGGGACTGTGGGCTGGAGACTCTACAGGCTGGTCAGTGGTACTTCTGCCACCATGATGGAGCACGTGAGCTATCAGCTGGATTCTAAATAAACTAATGCTACACCCATCTACTCTCACGTGGGTAGCAGCACCTGGGAGGGGAGGGCATGAAGGCAACGCTGCACAGTAGGACTGGCCCTGTGATATGAGTCACCAACATTCCTGATTTCTAGAAAGAAGGTGATGTTCCCTGCTGGGTGGCAAACAGTCCAAGAGAACCCTAAGGACTGCAAAAATAAGTGAGAATAATATGCCTTCTCTGCCACCTGCCACTGTGGAGGAAGATGAGACAGAAAATGGACCAGGAATTCTCAAGCATGCATGAAATATGAAATGATAGTAATAATAATAATAATAATAATAATAATAATAAAGTGAGTCTCCAGAAAAGCAGTTAACTATCTGCTTTCACCTCCTAGAGTTGAAACTTTCTCCCAGACTTAGCCTGTAGGCACCACCCGGGTTCCACTGGTTCCACTGTGGTAAACCTAGTCCCCCCTCAACCTAAACACAAGGCCGTGGAAAAGCTTAATATTATTCTGAAGCCATCGTGCAGCTCAGTGCATTAGGAAAGAAAGCTCAACGTGCAAGGTTTGGTTAAAACATGACGTTAGCCTGGAAAAGGAGAGACCTCAGGGACCCAGGTCAGTTCCACTCTATTGTTTCCATCCCTATATTGCTAAATTGCACTCCTGCCCTTGAATTCTGAGACAGCCATCATCCGTGTGGAATCGCCCAACAGTGATTCATGCCCCAGCTCTGACTCTCTTTTATCCCAAAATAGGGATTTGTGCGGTCCTAGAGAGCTGTCTCGCCTCACATGAAGAGCTGCAGCTAAACTGAACAGAAGGGTTTTTTGTTCCATGGCAGGACCACTTAACTAGCAATGACTTCTAAACTCTGCCACCCTCCTCAACTATTCATGGGATCCTCATCCTTCAAAGGCAAGAGCCATTTAGAGGAACCAAATGATTTACTTGAGGACAATTTACTTGGGGACAACCTCAAGTTAAGGAACATCTCCATTCTGCTTTGTTCTTTGGGGTGTTCCTCCATATGCAAGGAACCAGCTGAGTATTTTGCTACACAGACGGATCCTCCACTCTTAACTCCCTTCTCATGGGAAAAAGGGATTGCTTTCTTTGGGGGATGGGGGACAACTCAAGCACCATCCAAAGAACTATGACATCCTTATTAACTCTGAAACATGTCCTATGTATGTCATCTGGCACACATTTCTCGGTTTAGCTTATCTGAAAGGAATTAGAAAAGTTGGATCTTAGGCAAAATAGGTACAAGATTTGACCAGGTGTGGCTTACACCCAATCAGTGGGCAGAGGCTTTGGCCTGGACCCTCCTTCCATTAATGTGGTGCAAATCTTTCAAACAGTCCCCCCCACAACGTGTGGGTGAAGCAGTGTGTAGCACAGATCACGTTCGTATGTTAAGATATATAAGACCCAGGCATCTATGTCCTAGTTACGTCCCTCTCAAATCTTTCTTTCAACCACAGCAATATAACCTAAATATTAAAAGCCATTTTATAATAAGTATTACAACACATGCTCACAGGTAGATGTCATCAGAACCAAGAACCGGCAGCTCTAAGAACCCAAATTATAATTGTTTATATGATATCAGAATATTTTTTTCCCCCGAGAGTATTCAGTTTGAAGCCCAGGTATCTTATTTCTCTCCCAACCAAATACCATGTAATAAACATACACTCTACATGCTTGGTTGATGGTTTATTGGAAATCAGCACACAGACTGAGAAATGGGAGAAACTTACAAAGGGCTACACTGATGCCAAGGAACATGGCACCCATGGCACCATGAAGGCATGGAATGTGCCATTTACAAGATACACACTGCAATTGACACAGATGATTTAAAAAATATATGTGCATAGATAAATTGTAAGTATGTCTGGCTGCCTAATGTACATAGAGATAAATATGCACATATCAATGTACTTCATGTACAAATGCATTTGAATCAGAGCAGTAATTGCAGAAGGAGTCCCTGTGCTTTTGGCCATGCTGTTTCAGCATTTCATTGTCTCTGTACACCCACGTACAACACCTCCATGGCTTCTGCTTCTCTGATAAGTAACTAGAGGCAGTGATTTCACTGAGGAAAGAGACCAGGTGTCATGAATACCACAATAAGGCAGACTCGTCCACACAAACATCTAAGTAATGAGGGGAAGACTCATTCTTCATCTGGCACTGGAAGTTGGAAAGAACTTATCCTGGATTGGATAACCTCCTGGGAAGGATGTGATTCATAGACAAATAGCATGTGGGCTCTCTCAGAGGCGCTGTGGAATTCTCAAAGAACTAAAACAGAATTACCTGGCTTGCTGAGAAGGTCAGTCTGGAACCTTACCTGCAGGTGGCTATAAAGTGATGGCAATGACTAGAAGCACATTTTAAGACGTGCTTGCCAGTTAAAAGGTTCTGAATTTGGCTTGGAAAGGGAGGCAAGTAGCTCGTTTAAGCCATAATCCAGACAGCTGGGGCACGTACAAAGCTAAACTTGCACTCAACTAGACAGAGAAGTGATAGATCACCTACAGATTCTGATGCATTTGCTCATGCAAACACGATGTGGAGATGTGTTAACAGCCATTTTCATAAAAGACAATTTCCTGAACACTCTGTTTCTACTCTAAAGAGTCTCCAAGAGAATTACATTTGTTCAGGGGGGAAAAAAAAAAAAACCCAAATTCAGTTAACTTCAAAATCCAAAAAATAGAATACTAATGATAATATCTCAATCTAGAGCGGGGTTTCTTGACCTTGGCATTATTCACATTTTGGGCCAGATAATTCTTTTTTGTGGAGGAATATCTTACGTATTGTAGGACGGTCAAACACATCCCTGGTCTCCATCTAATAGATGCCAGGAACATCCATCCCCCTACAACTGTGACAGCCAAAAATGGCAACTTTACTGAAATTGAGAACCAATGACCTAGAACAAGAATGAATTTACTTTTTCTTCCTAAGGAACTTGAGGTGTTTTAAAAGTATTAGCTCATTATAACTCACAGCATTTTTAGGAAGCAGATGGATGGCAAGTATTACCTTAATTTCTGCAATCTAGAAGTCTAGGCTTCACACAGATTAGGTGGCCAGTCTGATCATATTGGACTCTGTTGGCCTCCTATACCATTTGGAGGCTCAAAGATAGAGTCTCTTTGCTGGATGTAAACTTAATTATATTATGCTCACTTCTCTGTTGTTCATGATTTTTCTCTCCAAATTAAAATAAAACCATTGTTACTTTCTACTCAGGGCAAAGTACAAGAGGGAAAGGTTATCTGTTTCCATGGGAAACCAGATAACCTTCAGCAGGTGTGCATGTCCAGGTTCTAGAGTTCCAATTCCAGGAGGCCGTGTTTTCATTTTCCACAAGGGAAGAAACATAGAAGAAAGAACACAGCAGAAAACATCAGGGGGATAAATTCTTTCACTGGTTTTAAAAAACAAAACCATGAGGGTTCCGATGGCTTTACTAGAAGTGTCAGTCAACTTCTCTGGATGTGTTACCTCCTCTCTAACCATGTGTCCTATACATAAACTTCTCTTAGGAAGCCAGTGTCCAGGGCCTTAATATGATAACCTTCCACCAACCCAGAAAAACACCAAACTTCCCATGAGGGGCATAATAAGAATATGTTAAAGGGCTTGCTGCTAACTAATGTCATGGCTGAATCTACTGTTGTCCTTGACACACACAAACACATACAACTAAGCAAAAGAATTCAAATCTGTGGGTTCTGAGCCTCAAAAAATGGGGATTGCTTAGCTTATCACAGATCCTGCTAAGATATCAATGCTGATGCTATGCCACAGAAAATATCTGTAACCCATAAGCCAATTTCTTTCTTCTTGGATATTAAAATGTTCTCCAACCTTCCAAAATAGATAATCCAACCTTCCTAAAAGGGCCTTATTTTTCTGAGATATTAACTCTTGCTTTCATAATCTCATCAAAAATAGGAAATTGAGAAAGTGTCACTTTAGGTCACTCCAAAAGAATTATGGACCCAGGGTTATTAACTATTGCTTCAGTTGGTGCCCATTTTTGTTTCTTTTTTTTCAAAACTTCATTTTCTTGTCTTCTCTCTATTCTTCCTCCTCACTCCATCCATTTTGCCCAACTCTGCTGGTGTAAAATATGAAGAATTCCAAGTATCTCGAAATACTTGTTAATTCCTCACAGGCCCTAGCCCTACGTGATTTTTATGAATTATGCTTAAGGAAATAGGAGGCCAGGCATATATCAACAAACAGGAATATTTAGAAGAGGCCTAAATAAAGATACTGAAGGAGTGCTATCCACACAAAAGCCTCTAGAAGGAATAAGATTTACTTGCAAAATATCTTCCTTGCAGTAGAAATGAGTATTTATATTTAGTAAAGCTTCTGGAAAAAACTCCTGCTTCAATACTGAGGATATAAAAAGTTGCCAGGTTCCTGAACTCTAAACTCAACTAAAATATATTTTCACTTCCTAACCTCTTATTTAAAACTTGCTATTCCAATTATTATTTACCCTTCGGAATCATCAAAGAGCTGGTATACAACATTATAAACACCCTATGTGCAAAACTGAAACATTTTAAAGTTCTCCCTCTATCTGTGTAGCGATTTGGGTTGTGTTAAGAGCAAAGAAAAGACAGAAAAACCCACTTATAACTTTTCCTGTTAAACCATTTATCTTTTAAAATTCCATGCTATTGCACATATACAATAGTATTTTCTTTTGTCTCTGTTTTAGAAAAAGCACTACAAAGGGGTTCCTCTGCATATTATTTCTAACAACTTAGGCACCACTGGAAAGCTTAGCTCAAATTTTCCATACTAATTTACTCTGTGCTCAGAATAGTCACGTGAAGTTTAAGCCACCAGAAAAATTCCTTAGAAAACTGTAATCACATACTGATATTCCAAGAGAGCCAAAATAATTCTTAAACACAGATGAGGGGGTTAAAATGCTCACTTTTCTCTTTTCAAGTGCTTTAGGAAAGAATAAAAAGTTAGGGATTTAGTAATGAAGGGAGTCCACGGGGCCCTTCTAAAGACTGTTCATAAATCATGCTAAGCCATCTGCGATGCAGATATATCAGGGACAGGAAAAAGTCATTTTGATATATCTGTTTTACATTATGATAACCTTTGCAAGAGTATCGAATGTGTTTTCACTAATGTTGACAGAATTGTACTTCTTCCAAAGAGACAAGTGAAAATGTCTGCCTAGCAGTACAATTCAACTAGTGTTGCTGGGTCTGAAATGCTTAATAATTGACCAGACGGGAAAGAAGGAAACTCTCTGGTTATTGAACCTGTTAGCCTTGATCCTTTGTCAATCATACCATGATGAGAAGAGAAGGAAACACACACACACACACACACACACACACACACACACACACACACACAACCTCAAAAAGCAAATATGCTCTCCATGGTTACCTAATCTGGAGTGCTGGGAAAAAATGAAACTGGATTGAATTCTACATTGTCTTATCATATCCATGTTTACAAAGCCCAGGCCCCTCTTCATGCATGATTCCATTTAAACAAAAGAAAGCTGTGATGGTACAGCCCAGTGACTTGGAGAACTTTATGATAACGAATTAGAAGCATCTAGAAGCTCACAGAGGACATTAGTGTGTGGAGCCTTACATGTCTCCAATAACAATCTACCACAGGGTAGAAAGAGGACTTATTTTAGTGGGCAAACAGGCGGGGAGGTCAAAGACACCACAGACCCCCAAGTGTTAGAAATTAGATTTAAAAGTCATATTATGATCTAACAGATTTAATTTGTGAACCTTTAAAGTTGGGGCATCAGTTTTCTTAGATATGTACCCCACAGCCAAAATCAATGCATCTAGTTCATTATGGGGAGAAATATCTTAATCTAACTTATTTAATAAAGGCTTATTGAATAAATAAATACTTATTTAAAAAGAAATATTTCTGGTTTTCCCTTTAAAAAAAAAAGCACCAACATGCATGCCTTCCATAGCATACAAACACCAAGGCTATATTTTTTATGCATTACTGATTATTTTTTTCACATGTGGAAATTAAGAACTGGTGGTACAAGGCACACCTCCCAAATATATTATGTTAGCCTAACTCTGAAATTAGTGATACAGTGCACATTTGCTAAAATAAAACCAGGAGTACAGCACACGACTGATACTGTAACAGAAAAACTGGAATCTGAAATCATTTGAATTAATGACTGGCAATTTTCTTTGTAGTTTACATAAAGAAAATCAACACAATAAAACAGTAAAGAACGTTAACTATAAAAAATGGACAGCAATCACCGTAGTTGGCTTTGCAGACCAGAACATTTTAATAAGATATTTAAAGAAGAGTGAATATTCCTTCAAAGAATGCATGCTAGTAGATGACCCAGACATCATGTGATAGGAACAGCAAAATAGATAAGGACAACAACTTTATATGAGACAGACTAAATGCCTGAACCCCAAGGGACTATCTCAAAGTATTAAGTTGAGCTTACTTATTAGAATCTCTGAAAGGAGAATTTAGAGGTCTCCTCATCAAAACCAACCAATTTACCTATGTCCAACTTAAAGAGACACATTAGTGCAAACCCTCAGACAAGTCCATCTTATAAACAGCAAAACACATTGCTTTTTGGAAATGAAAAGAAAAACCCAAAGTCGCATCAACAGTAAAGAAGACAATCAAATACATAAATCAACCCATCCATAGCCTAAAGAATTAAAAGAAAACCCCAGTGTAGGAAAAGCACATATAAAAATGGAGAACATTTCCCCCAATTCAAAGAAAAAACTAACCAGCTGAATTGGGAGTTGACGGTGAGTTAGCTTGGCTTCCATGGGCTGACACGTTGGTAGCAGTGACAGCTGTTTTGGCAGCATAAATATTGGCTTCCTCTTGAAATTTACCTATGTTCTTCTTGTACCGGATTCGTTTATTTCCAAACCAGTTTGATACCTAGAGAGGTTTAAGAGAAGACGAGAAAGTTACCAGTTCATCCTGCACAAACATCACAGAGGAAAAGGAAGAGCTTATGAGATGGTTGAAGAGGTAGGCTAATTGGTCTCATCCTAGCTCTGATTCTGCAACATCAGTTAAAAGATCTGAAGGAAGGGCTTGGAGAGGAGCAACTATATAAAATGAGATTCTCTTGCTTAATATAACACAATCTAGCAAAACCACTGTGACAAAGATTTTTCTAGGGAGGAGCTGTTCATTTAACTAGGACCCTTGTAGTTTAGGGCAAGCATTTAACATCTGCTTACCTCTTAAGTACAGGACACTAAAATAAACCTAGCATTTTAGGAGAAATGCCTGTTACTTACCAATGCTAAAGCTGACTTTGGGCAATCAAAATATACAGACCTTTAAATATTCAAATAAATCTATATCAACATATGGGTGCTTTCATGGATGGATTAATTTCACATTTTTATTAGTTAAATAACTTTAATATGGACTAGATTCTTAGCTGCATTGTACTACTGACCTTAGGATCAATATAATTCAATCCAATAAATTTCACTAAGTATTCTGTGCAAAGCTTGGTGTTATCTACATGAGGAAAAACTGAAGCCTAGCACTGATTATTCCTTTGAATTCCAGGCTTTAAATGTTAACACCAATACACAAAATAAACGTAATTTACTTTCATTTGTTAACCTATTTCCTTCATGTGGCTCACAGCGGCTGTCCTGGCTTGATTCTATGCCCATTCTCTTTATACCAAGACCTCCGCCAGACACAAGTGGAGACACAGCGAAATTCAAGTTTTACTCCCATAATCCTGCCTTAGGAAGCAGAGTTTTATACCCCGTATTTCAGATGTGATTTCAAACTAAAATACTGTGGTTTTATACAATTACAAAACAAACCATGAATTTGGTGAGAGAAGGAGAAGTCGGTAACACACGTACCACAGCTTACATGTAATTAAATTTACCCCAACAATGGCAGATAAAGAAAATTCTTGCAAAACTACACTTGTTTTTAAAGTGCATTAGCTAAATTTAAAAACCTTATAAGGCTATCCCTCATAGACCTATACAGCTCATACTGCAGCAGAAATGCCAAGCCTCTGTTATAAAAATCAAAACATAGCATTGCAATATTAGTAAACAAGAGAGAAAAAAACTCAAGAGAAAATGCTTTATTTATTGTAAATGCTGGTGCCTACAGAAAGAGAGTAAAACTGGAAGAGGAAGGGCATTTCTGGGTCCATTCAGGGGCCACTGCCTATCTAATTTCACTCCCAAACTCATGCTTTTCTTGATGTAACTTTCACTATTCATAGGAATCAATCATCACTGTGGTTGGGTTTTGACTTCTAAGTGGAACAGAGAGAGAGGAAAAGAGGCAGGGAGATTTTTTCTGAGGTAACTGGATGAGCTGGAAGAAAGGGGGAAAGATGAAGGAAGTTTGGAATGACTTTTGAGGAGGAAAGAAAATGCCTGTGCTCTAATAAATTGGCTACATGAGAGAAGGTGAGAAGGAAGAGGGTGGAGAAGGGACAGGTCCTGGGATGATTCCTTTCTACAGGAGAATAGATGCTCATGCAGGGAAGATGCTGGGTCAGTTCAGGCATTTCCTGCATCGTCCACTAGGGGGATGTCATATGCCCTGAACAATGTATAGAATCGGTGTTTTCATTTATTAACTCACTGTTCAACAATCATTGACAAGGTCTACTATGTGCTAGGCACTAGGGATACAGAGACGACTGACTTACTCCGAGACAGATAATGCAGAAGGAATCACTGATTCTCCGGGGAAAGTTTGGTTCACATTTTGAACATGCTAAGTTTGAAGAGCCCGTGGGCAGAGCCATGGTGAAGTCCAGTGGGAAGTAAGATATATGAGTTTGGCATTCCAGGAGAGAAGTCTCATGGGGATATTCAAAGAGAAGTATATTTGCAGCTGTGAGCACGGAGGGGGCCACTCCAATTCACTGTGTAGAACAGTGCTTTTCAAAGTCAAGTGTGCATGGAGGGCTTATGAAGACAGATCCCTAGCCTCCTCTCCTTTCCACCAGAGAGTCTGATTCAGGACTGGGGTGAGACCCAAGAAATTTTTTTTTAAATTGAAGTATAGTTGATTTACAACATCGTGTTAGGTTTAGGTGTACAGCACAGTGATTCAGTTACATATCATATAAAAAAAAAAAAATATATATATATATATATATATACACACACACAAATATATACGTATATTCTTTTTCAGATTTTTTTTCTCTTATAGGTTATTACAAAATATTGAGTATAGTTCCCTGTGCTATACAGTAAGACCCAAGAGTTTACATTTCTAACAAGCTCCCAGCTGATGCTGCCTTCTGTAGATCACACTCCACGCAGCACTCCAAGCACTAGAATAGAGGAAGGGCTGTCCTGGGATCAAAGGAGAGGATGGTCAATAGATGGGTTTCTGTGTCTGAGCATATTTTTGTTTGGGAATCACAGGAGGACTCACTAGCAAGTGGATTTTAAAAGAATATGTGTCTTAAAAAATAATTAAGGACCATGGGCTAGAACATGATGAGATGGGGGCTAATGAAAGAACAATACTTTTAGGATAGGTAGAGATGGCAGATCCTCTAAGAAGACTGAGCAGGAGTGGCCCAAGAGGAAGGAGAAAACTCCAGAGAGAACAATGTCAAGAAAGCCAAAGTAGGAGAATTTCAAGATGGAGGGTGATTATTAACAACAACAACAACAACAACAACAAACCAAAACAGGGCTTCCCTGGTGGCGCAGTGGTTAAGAATCCGCCTGCCAATGCAGGGGACACGGGTTCGAACCCTCGTCCAGGATGATCCCACATGCTGTGGACCAACTAAGCCCATGAGCCACAACAACTGAGCCTGTGCTCTAGAGCCCGCGAGCCACAACTACTGAAGCCCACGTGCCTACAGCCCGTGCTCCGCAACAAGAGAAGCCACCGCAATGAGAAGCCCATGCACCGCAACAAGGAGTAGCCCCCGCGTGCTGCAACTAGAGAAAGCCTGTGCCCAGGAACAAAGACCCAACTCATAATAAATAAATTTAGTTTTAAAAAAACCCAAAGCAACAAACAAACAAACAAAAAACAAGAGAGATACAGTCAAAGGCATCTCCTAGATTTGAGAACTAGAGATAGAGGGAGATTTAATATATCATGTGGTCCAACCAACCATGACTGGAGATGGGGCAACTAAGATCCAAATAGAAAGAGTAAGTTCCTAAAATCCCATGGTTGACTCAGCATAAACATGCTCCTAGCAAATGCTCGTTCTATGATATCATATTGTCTCCCACTGGAACTTGTGTGGCAATGGTAGAACAGTCTGGTTATTGTTGGGAGGAAGTGATGTGATGGGGAAGGAAGAATGGTATCGCCCTGGGATGGATAGGGGAAAGAGAAAGGTGATACAATATATGTAAATAATCATTTTAATGGACACACTATTTGCACCCTGGATTTCCATAATGAAGGATGTGAAGGTTGCTGGAATAGGCCAAGATTCCATTTTTTATTCAGATACAATACAGACTAGATCCTGAAGAGTTCATTCTATTTTCAATAGGGATTTGGAATTCCAAATCCCAGAATTTGAATTCAAACAATATAGTGATTTTCAACTTTAGCAGCAGAAGATTCCATGACCGAAATTCAGTTTGTGGGTTAGTGATATGGTTTATACCTAGAAACATGCAGCAAGCACCATAAAACATCAGTTCTCTTTTCTTGTGGACAGTGGGTTTAGATTTAGACAAGAATGGTTAGAAACCTAGATAAAAATCAGGCCACCTGAATTAGACCACTGATGTTCTGCTTTCCCAGGGTTGCCAAGACTGGAAATGACCTTCCGCTGGGTCCAAGTACCTGAGGAAGGTCCAGGTTAAAAAGGAGACGATTCTTTCTGCCTTGTCTGAAAGGAGGTTTCCAAGGCTGCTGCAAAAATCACACATAGAGGGCTGGGGAGAGCCCGGCAATCTCTTCATTGCAGATCCCCTGTGTGGAGTTCTTTATTTTGACTAGACCTTTATTTTGACTAAACACAGGATGATGGGATCAGCACCCGGCGGGGAGTAGCAGAAGCCAGGATTCAGCTCAAGGAAGTACTGATGCTCAGTTTATACAAAACGGCGTCTACTTCATTTACAAAATGTTAAGTGAAGTTTTTCACTACGGAGGCCTCTCCTCCCCAACTTCCCCCTCACCCTTGCCCTTTCTGGAAGCACTAGTACATTTGATTCTCTTGCACGTGACATAATTCTGAGGAAAGCTTTCTCTGAGAGATTTCTTGACTATCCCTACTGGTCTCAACTAGAGACTGGTGGTGGTATTTGAGGTTCAGACCGAGTCAGAAGTCTGGATGGATCCTTTGTGTGGCCAAAATGTAGATACATATAAAACTTGCTGACTTTTCTACTTCATATTAATGCCGAACACTCCAGGTCCATAAAACTTTAATGTCACGTATCTTTCCACGTCAATAGGCACCTGTTACGGTTATTGCTCTTTGGGGGAAGGGGGCACTCAGTGACATTTTGTGCAATCATTCCAACGCAAGCATAGTGACACGTTAAAATTCCTACACTCCATCAGTTACAGAGTGAGGACATCAAGAGAGGACGTTTGAGTCCCTTTCATTGGAAAGTTCCATTCACTGACTCATAAAGTTCCTGGGTTGGGCAACAAAATGGGCCAAGGAATTGAGTATGCTTGAGAAAATAACATGAGAAATTCAGATGGCTTTCCAAGTACATGTAGAATTCTTCACCCATTTGAAGCAACGGAGAGCTCAGAAGAACCCTGTCCCTGTTTTTACACTGTACTTAGTCTTCCCCTACTTCTGCTGGTTCCTCTCAAGTTTTTCCAGGTACTGCCTTGGGAACCCTCTTATGCACATCATGTGCTGACCTTGCCATTTGAAGGCTTAAGTTGATGGAACTTACAAGGCATGAAAGTTCAGCAAAGCAAGACCTCCAAGACTCTGCACTGTGACTCCACCAGGGCCAGGCTATGGGCTGAGCCCTTTGAGGGCTTCTTACCTGGGACACTGTGATGCCACACTTCTTGGCTAACTCCTCTTTGGCTTCCTCACTGGGGTAGGGGTTGCTGAGATGGGAATAGAAATATTCATTCAGGATTTCCGTCGCTTGCTTGTTGAAATTCCGTCTCTTCCGCCTTCATAAAGAGAAAGGAAACAACAACGACAACGGAAAAAAAAAAAAAGTTCACACCAAATACACATAAAAAGGGAGAGGAGAGGATCTACGTCTGGGAGAAGACCCTTTTTTGAGTGAAAAGTGAACAAGAGGAGATTTGAGCAAAGGGGTTGGATGCTGAAAGCAGTGCTGAAAGCGTTCTTTAAACCCTTCATTGTGTACTGTCGGGACACTAAGCAGAAGAACCATCACATGCATTTTACAAATGTTTATACAGAGTGGTGAGGGGCATGAAGTTTCAAAATCCCACCATCTTGGTTTTGAACCCTGGACCAACTGAATACCAGCTGGGTGATTTGGGATGCCTCTCCGAACTTCAGCTGCTTCAAACGACAGTCAAAAGAGTCAAACTGACCTCACGGGGTGACAGGGAGAAATCAGGTCATACACAGAGAGGACTCAGCACAGTGCCTGGTACATGACAAATACTAGGACTTAGTGGGGATTCTTCCTACCAGGTTCCAGGCCTTGGGCCATACCCCTCAGAGCCATCAATTCAAATTATTTACTTTTCACAACTAGTGAGGTAGCTATGGTTATTCCCATCTACCAATGAAGAACTGAGTTCAAAGGTCACTCAACTAGTAGGTTATAGGGCCAAAGTATCAATTCAGGTCTGCCTGACTACAAAACCCAGCCTCTTTCTTGTATACAGATTGCCTCCTGGCAATTACACAGAGACTCTGTAGCCATACGTTAAAAATAAATTGTCTGGACTTCCCTGGTGGCACAGTGGTTTAGACGCCATGCTCCCAATGCAGGGGGCCCATGTTTGATCCCTGGTCAGGGAACTAGATCCCACATGCATGCCGCAACAAAGGAGCCCGTGAGCCACAACTAAGGAGACTGCCTGCCTCAACTAAGACCCATAGCAACCAAATTAATAAATAAATATTTTTTAAAAAGTTATTTTCTCTCTGTTCTATCCCCATATAGGTGCATGCAACATTTTTAAAAGGCATGGGGAAGGGGGGTGAGAATGGATGGAAATTAACCCCCTGACTACTTGACCTCCCTTGAAAGGAGAAAAGCAGCACTTTCTAAGCAGGAACAGCTGCTAAATGGTAAAACATAAGCCCAGAGAAATCTTTTTAATATATAGGTTGCTAAAATGGAGAAAACCACTTTTTGAATAAAAGCATTTTTCTTCCTAAAAAAAAAAGTGCTAATTGAACCAATTTAAAGTGAGAACCACTTTGTTGCCTCCTCCCTGCTAAGGCCTAAGGATAGCTGGAGTTTGCTTAGGGATGCCTGGCTCCTTGCAGATGCTGGCTGGCCCTCCTTGAGGGGGTGGGGTCTCTATCTTTAAATTAGCTCCATTAGCACTTCTGCCTTTCTAGCTTTTATCAAAGGCTTTTCCTTATGGGGAAAAAAAATTTCCAGAACATCCCTGGTTATGCCAGGATATTGAATTTTCTGATTTAAGCCAACAGAAAGCACCAATCGCCTTGCTAGACAGGAAATTCAGCTAATATTGTATTTTCCGGGTCCCACTTGGATTAATTAACATAATAAAGTGCCTGATTTTACCGGATGAACACCATCTGTCCATAGGTATTAACCACATCTGCCCAGATTATGCCAAGCCCAAGTCACCCTCCCAAATCATGCTGAGTTTCTGGGTCACCCAGCATCAGAAATTGGGCAGATTGGATTAAAAGGCCCAACTAAAAAGGAGGCGTGTATTAAGAGCTCTTGCATGATGGGAATTTGAGGACGGTAGCCAAGTGGCTAACCCGGTCTCCAAGTTAGTCTTTGGATAACCTCTGGCTTCCTCTTGGCCTAAAGAAAACAGTTGTTTTAGGCCTGGGGAAGTGGCCCCTGAAGGCTCCCCTAATTGGGAGTTGTTTGCATTAGCATTACAGTGTATTTCTTGGGTCTCTTCCAACTGAGCTCATAGGAAGCCTCTCTGGAATGAGCTGGGGTGCAGGGATGGTGCAGACAGCTGTTCCCGGCTCTCTCCTCCTGGTGACGTGCAATCTTCCTTTAGGTGGTCTCATCCACTCAGATGGATGCACTTATCACCTTGGGCAGTGGCTGTCTCAATCTAGGGCCTTTGAAGCCCAGAAGTAGGATTTTGCAGAATTTCAAGAAACCCAGTAAAAGTAATATAATTCTGACGATAAGGTTATTTGAACTAAGACACCTGGTTTCTTTGCTTTGGCTGGAAGCGTTTTCAGCTCGGTGAGTTAACATGTGTTATTTCAAGCCAACCAAAAGCTCTGATCATCAGTTATCCAGGTAAACTTAAGAAATGTGGAAGTTGATTAAATTTTAGGGATGGAACCTTTCAAATCACAGTGACTCAAGAGTGAGGAGTGTAGGCGCTGTGCACATATGTTGCTAACCACCAAATGTGTTATCTCTGACCAAATGCCTCTCCTAAAAGCCAACACCCCATTTACTACTGCATACCCCAGACACTTCCAACAAACTCTGTGTTTCTAAGACTAGTATCACATTTCACCCAAACCAGCTCCATTTTCTTTTCTTTCCATATTATTTAATGACATCACCATCGATACAGAGTTCATTGTATTTGCTAATTTGTTCGTCCATTCATTTGTTTGTTTATTCCTTCAAATATTTGAGCACCTAGCATGCGCCAGCATCTGGGAGCGATTCTCAATTCTTCTTGTTCTCTTACTGGATAAACACTCTCTGTCCATAGGTATTAACCACATCTGTCCAGATTATGCCAAGCCTAAGCCACTTTCCCAAATCATGCTGAGTTTCTGTGTCACCCAGCATCAGAAATTGGGCAGATTGGATTAAAAAGCCCCAGTGAAAAGGAGGCGTGTAATAAAAGCTCTTGCATAATGGGAATTTGAGGAAGGTAGGCCCCAGAGCAAGTCTTACCAGTTCTATTTTTCAAATCTATCCCTTTGGTTCCATCCTTAGTGTCATTGCTATTTTTGAAATGGGTTTAGAGGAGCCACAGTCTGTCATATAATGGTCTTAGTAGTGTTGTCCAACAGCACTTTCTGCAATGAGGAAAATAAATGTTCTCTGTTCTCCAATATAGCAGCCATCAGCTGCATGTGGCTATCGAGTGGCTGAAATATGGCTCATATAACTGGAGTGCTAAGGTTTTAAATTTTATTGACCTTTATTTTAATTAATTTAAATTTAAAATCAAGAAGCCACAGACTAGACAGTGCAACTCCATACTGATGCTTTCCCTAAATCATGGCCAAGCAACCCTCCTAGAAGGAGAGCATGGACTCACAGCCCTGGTGCACACCATCAAAAGCAGGAAATGGCTCCAAAACCTCCTGCTGTAGTCTATTCCATCACATACCAATGTTTATCTTAAAATAAGAATATTTTCCTCCAAATATTTGAGTAAAATGGGGAAGGTTTTTCATACTTATTCTGTATTTCCCCAGTTTGAGAAGCACACACCTCAACAGTGGTCTCCTACCGTTTCTTTGAATTCAGCTCATCTTCAAGAAAATCACTAGAGGAATTCCTCCAAACCATGGATCTGATCATGAAAATAATAATAATAATAATAATAAATAATATATAATATACTGAACCTTACTATATTATAGCTGAATTACGGTGTGAATACTATGTTCCAGACACTATACTTTTTTAATATATTATCTTATTTATTCTTGTATAGAATTATCCCCATTTTAGAAACACAAAAACTGAGTCCTAGGGAGGATAAGCCACTTTCCCCGGGTCACAGAGGTAGTCAGGGTTGTAGCAAGAATCTGAATCCAAGAAGTGCAACTTGAGAACTTACACTATAAATTACTATATTCCCTCCTTAAACAGCTCAGAGTTTCTGCTGCTTCATAGGACCAAGTTGAAATCTTTGCTGGTACAGTTAAGGTCTTTCAGTGGATCTAGCCCCTCCCTAGTGTCTCATTTCCCTCCAGTCCTACAGATGCTCTACATAATTTCATCCAGCTACATCATATGCTTCTCCATTCCCCAAAGACACTCACGGCATTCATGTTCCCTTGCCTTTTCATACCACCCTGTGTATTTCTCTCCAGCAGCATTTGCCACAAGTTTACATGTGTCTTCCCAACTAAACAGCAAATCCTCAAGGGGAGGAGCCATGTTTCACACATATTTGAAATCCCGATGCCCAACACATAGTATGCATTCCAGGAAGTAATGCCTGTTGAAGTTGAATTATGCTGTTTACTTTGCTTCTGTGATTCCTTCTATTTGTTAAACATCATACTCCTCTGAGATTCAGCACTGTCTGCCTCTCCCTGATTTTCGATTCTCTCTCCCCTTTGGGTAAACTTGGCAGAGGTACTTCCTGTGATCATGAGCAGTTTTATGCTGTTATAAGAGCACCTGTCCCGGGAGGTTATGAGCTCTTGAAGGTGGGACCCACTTTTACATGCATTTTTTCATCTTTGTTATTCCAGTGGCTAATACAGCATTTGACAGAGAGTAAAAACTCAGAGAAGTAAATAAATCTAAATACAGTGCCAGTTTGGCCAGACCTTATTGGACGTCCTTTCCTCTTTCTTACTGTCCCCTTTGCTAATCATTTTAAGTAACTCCATCTACCAGGGTGAAGTGCAGAGGTGTACTTCCAACCACGTGCTTAGGTTCTTATTGTTTTCTCTAGCAAGATGTTATTTTAAAAAAACAAAATAAAATTACCGTATTGCTAGAAAACCATTAAAAGGGTTTACAAGTTCTCTCTCTCAAAGAATTATTGTAGTCCTGACAATAAGCTTACCAAGTTTTACAGCACAATGCTTGATATAAAGCTGAAATAATAAATGTTGAGTGAATGAATGAATGAGTGGAATTTTTAAGTTAAACTTTTCTGGCACTGTAAGGCAGACAAAAAGGATATGACTTGGGGCTTCTCTGGTGGCGCAGTGGTTGAGGGTCCGCCTGCCGATGCAGGGGACACGGGTTCATGCCCCGGTCCAGGAAGATCCCACATACCGTGGAGCGGCTGGGCCCGTGAGCCATGGCCGCTGAGCCTGCGCGTCCGGAGCCTGTGCTCCGCGACGGGAGAGGCCACAACAGTGAGAGGCCCGCGTACAGCAAACAAAAAAAAAAATAAAAAAAAAAGGATATGACTTGAGTGGACAAAACCTGGCCCAAATGCTCAGCTGGGGAGTGTGGAAGGCAGAATCCTAAGGAGATATGTAAGATTCCACCCTGGGGTACATCTCTTTCC